ATTGCTATTTTTTAGTATGTAGAAAGTTCATCGTTCGAGCAGCTACGCTGTTTGATTGTTGACATGGTTGCTACAAAGTTGCCACGATAAGAGCTAAGGCAGTGTGGATGCAGCTTAATAGAAGGTTCAGCTAGGTCGGCCGACCATGATACGGAGTGCGTGCGTAACGAATAGTTCATGGCGATTGTATGCACACGCTAGAGCAATGACGAGCATGTGTATGCACGCGCGCGCGATCTGCAGCACGAGTTAGCGATAAGCGGCGACACAACGTTATATCATCGTCCACAGAGCGTGGTGCCGAGTGATTTCTGCAGTTCTTTCACCCGCTCGATTCGGTCATGCGATACAATTGCGATAGAAATCGGCTCGAACCGCTAATCTGCGAGCGTAGATCGTAAAACGATTTGCCGATATTCGCTGAAAAAGGCTGCCGCGAATGTTAATCCTTTGTACGCGGACGTCCCCTTTCAGGGGATGTAACTGCTGGTAATTATGGTACTTACAAGATAACAAATTTTTGTTACATGAAATAACGATACATTCGTTAGCCAAATTTTATTCAGACAGAGTGATGTATCATTTTTTGTTGGAAGCATTATTTATTACCAGACTGCGAATTTTATCCACTAATGACAAAAATGAATAGATGCAATTAGAAGGCGTGGACAGATTGAACGAATTTTTAGAATATCCATATAATATTGAAATTATTCTCAAGGAAGAAAGAAATGCCTACTTGACTCCTGTTTCTTGTACTATAGAATGCTACCAATGATAAGAACGAATTGGTGCAATTTAAAACACCAGAAAGATTAAAAGAATTTCAGAATGTCACGGTTACGTCAGGATTATGTCACATAAAAATTAAGTTTTGCCTTGATAGACTGATTGCATCGAATTAAGATCTGCGGGGTGCATAAGGGATGTGAGAGAGGGCTACTTTCATGCTTTAGTATATTATTTTAAGTATGTTAAACGTTCTTATATTCGCTAGTTGGATCTTTTTATTAGTTTTATTAAACTGGCAGTCCAATTGAGCATACAAAATTCCTTATAATAAATATATAGAATATATAGAGAAACGATCGCTTATCTGTTTTCTAAAAATCTAATACAGAGCGACATTTTTTATTGAAAGAAAAGTTTTTCATGATGTCCGTCTGTATAATAATATTCAAATTTCATCAAAATTTCAGAGGACGATATTTTGATATTAATTATTAATTACCACACAGTGTTCTGGGGTTGAGTTATGTTTATCAATTGGTTTGCGTAAATCGGTTAAATTATCGAGTATGACGCAGGCATTTGATGAAGGAGACACGTAATAGCGAAGCTATAATAGTTCCGCAAGAAAGGGGCAAAAAATTCACGTGACGCTGAATAATAACAAACCACCGGAAGTATAAACATGTTTTCCTTTTTAAGCACTATCACGTCATGTTTCGATTTCGTGATGGAACAGGTGGTTCGTTAGCGGATGATTTGCGTGATTTCTATTACTCGGTAATTACGATTATATAATATAAATCTTTGAAACGGATACTCGTACCACTGGCGACTTCTCTTCTCGATTCGCGTAATGTTTTCTCGGTGAATGTAATCGATTTCTCGCTGAAACGCAATAAAACATTTCTTGCACTAATTGTTCTATAGTGATCGATGAAAAGATGATGCACTTTATAATCTTGTACTTTTTTCTCAAAGTTGGTGGAGAGAAGGAGTATTTTAAACATTTTTATGTTGAAATCTTGTTTCAAGAAAAACACGCTGACGAATGACAAGGATGACTAATTTTATGCTGACAAATCAGTAGCACATATGCGTATGTACGGTGACGAGCAAAAGCGTCGTAGCATGTCTCATGAACATAAAGATCATGCTACCAGTTCATTAACTAATGTAGCATAAAGAAGTGGAAACATCAACGTTTTGTAATAATATCTTGTCTTCTTGGGTGCATCTACATCAATATTAAACTTCATTTATTTTTAATCATGAATCAGTATTAAACTATAGCGGTGAAATCTTTAAATAAAAATGAAAAAGGTCAGTACAAGATGTTTTAATATTTTTGTCACTTTCTATGAATGACCCTATATAAAAATGATTTCTACCAACTCCTTTGTTATAAGTGTCACTAACAGTGAGTGACATTAATGAACACCGTGGAACATCCTTTTTGGAACACCCCGTATACAATATCTATTTAAACCGTGCAATTTTTCGCCATCTTCTGTTACGTGTTGAACAATTAAGACAGCTTCCACATACATATACAATCAATATTATTGTTTTCCCAATGTTAGAGTGACTGTTCAGTAGGCGTTCAACAATGAGGCCGATAACGATGATATCCGTAAATTACATCACGGCAATAAATGTTGCCCACGCCATTGCCGTTGCACGGGTAACATTATTGACTGGTCGGTGACAGTTATTTTTAGAACATGTCGCAAAAAATGTATTGCAAATAAGATCGCACTTTGTTATGCGAGTCGCAAAAATTTAGGAAAAAATCGCTTATATTTGCGTGACAAGTAATTCGTTATACTGACTATGCGATCTTGGCTTCAACAGTTTCGATTAGGTCAACTCTCTCTGTTGATTGGCAATTGAGTTACTGAGAGAAAATGTTACCGCAACTCATAATCAATACCGACTATACAGAATAATTAATTCACACTTGGAAGCAAAATTCTTGCTACCATCGTCTTCTGCTCGTGAAAATCTTCTCTCTGATTTAACGATGTATAAAATATTCCATCATACTTGTTACAAGACGATAATCGAGAATTGTATAAAACTTCGTTATATGAAGAAAGCTTCTATAGTATATGATCCAAAAAGTAGGTTCTGTTTTAAATAGGGGAGAAATGAATTTCAATTTTCATAGATTTTTACAGAAACCAGCATGAGGAATAAATTCAATTTACCAAATAGAAAATGCTTTATGGTAAAAATAGAGCAGAAATGTCATTGATGTTTGAAAATATTATCATGCTTTCTTATATATTTTTAAAATCAAAGAAAAAGCATGATCATATTTTCAAACATTAATGACACATTTCTGCTCTATTTTTACCATAAAGCATTTCCTATTTGGTAAATTGAATTTATTCCTCACGCTGGTTTCTGTAAAGATCTATGAAAATTGAAATTCATTTCTCCTCTATTTAAAACAGAACTTAGTTTTTGAATCATATACTATAGAAGCTTTTTTCATATAACGAAGTTTTATACAATTCTCGATTATCGTCTTGTAACAAGTATGATGGAATATATATTTTTAAAATCAATCACAAATACGTACAGATCCGTGAATCTATACACAAGCATCCTGATGAATATGGCAACACTCTAATATTACAATTATCAATGCTTCTTAAACAAATAGCTGTGTGACACTACATGTATGACTCGCTCCAATATTAAACAACAGCGTTCAAAATACATTAACCCAAGCGTATGTTTATTCGACACGGGCAAACTTTATTCCTCGAATAAATTTGCCCGAGATCCGTATACTCGGGTCGCGATAAAGGCTAACGTTTCTGTGCGGGAAACGCAAACTCGTGAAAAATGAGACGTCACGTTCTCGATGGTGGGGTCACGTTCGCTTTGAACGCGCGAAGAAGCCGAGAAACACGAATGGCGGGTGACTGTTAATGCTTGAAAGTATATGAAGCATAAACATGTTAACTGTCTAGTTAATTTTGCTTGTTGATCACTGCTCTATGGAACAGGGATCGGGATTGGTCGTTGATGAAGGGCGGGAAAAGGAGTTCTGCTCAGGGAATGATTTTCCATGTTGTGCAATCTAAAACGCTGCTTGTTATATGTCTCATTTGCCACTAAGCTACAAGCAGATTAATTTGTATTGTATTGAAAAAATTCATTGCCAATGATAATCGCAAAAAATTAACACCAGAAGTGATAGTGATAATTTAAAAACTAACTGTAGATATTGACATGTTGGAAACATTTTTAGTGTAGTGTTACAGTGACGAGAAATTTGATTCTGTTCTGCATTAACGATTAATTAATAAGGATTAATTGGCCGCATTTTATCTGTAAAAGAATAGGTTGCAGAAGATTACAGACCCATATGTTACTAGTGTCCATTCATAATGGTGTTTTTATAATATCATAACCTTTCGTCGAAACTAGTATAACATATGTATCAATAAGTTATGAGGGGTTAAGTAGTTCGTCTTCGCGCCTCGTTGCAGTTTTGTTTGTCGCAGGATAGATCAGGCTTGAACGAGTAACAGCTCGCGCAAGAAAACTATCGATACCCGCCTCTCGTGTTTCGACAATCGCATTATCTCGCTCCCGATACTACACCAATCGATGCATTCGCATGTCCCACTTAACGGATTTATCGTGCACCACTGTCCACGGCGAGTTACACATACAACTAATATTCATACTATTGTGTAATCAAATCATAATTCAACGTTCGCATTTAGCCTTGTTCATTTACACTAATTTATGTTTCCTTTTTACACGCGTTTTATCTCCACTATACACACGTTTACTTTCGATGGTTAGTCAACTTTCCGTCTATGTAGACTCGCATGATCCCCTTTAAACATGTTCATTGTTAGTTCATCAAAACAGTTCGAAACGACCGCCCGTTACGTTCGAAATTTGTATCAAACTTACACACAATGTGTACAATAATAACATTATCGTACGTGATAAAACATTATATGTTGCACCAATACTACCGATAGTAGTTGTACACTGTCAAACGCGCATTCTAAAGCAAAATGTTCACTAACCATCGATTTTAAGTCTATTATTATAATTGACGTTGAAATACATCGCATTTTTAACCACAATCCGAGCGCATATTTTTCACCGAGACCTATCCCTGTATTCGTGTTCGATTCACCGTTTCAGTCCGTTAGCTTTTGTCGCAAATATTATTGTTATTTAAATGCATATTTATTTTTCAGTTTCTTGCCAAAATAATTGAATTGCTGACTTACCAAACGTACAAAATGTTACCGCTGTGGCATTGCAATTAACAAATCGCTGATCCAATGGAAAGCACACTCACGCGGGAAAACACTCACCTCCGTCGTACTAGCAAACTGTTCACGTAGAATATTAACTTCGGCAATGATAATGACAATCGAATTAACTGAATAAAAAAGGTGATCGTCCCGGGAAACCCAGAGTTTCGAACACGCGCATGCACCACGCGACAGCTAACACTAACGCGACCTTTCAGATTGCCGGCAGAGCGGCAGAATTTCGGAATACATTAAAAATTCCGTTCCTTAAGATGGCGACACCTCCTGAGGGAAGCCTTACCATAGACAGCAACGTCAAACGACACAAAGGCACGTGCAAGGTATTAACACAGACGAAGTATAAGAGCAGACATGGCACCCAATGTATTATCATAGACAAGGTATGGAGTAGACTGGAAATCCAATGCACCGTACTAAGCGGTTCGAGCGGCTCGAAATGCGGACCGAGCTGGGACTCGGTTTCCGAGCTGAGTCGAATATGTATGTACTTGGTAAAACCGAGCGGCTCGAAAGAATCGAGTAGCTCGAATTGCTTCGAGCGGTTCAAACGATTCCACTACATTAAAAATGTCATGTATTAAGAATAAAATTTTACAATCGCTTTATACTTTTTTAAAGTTACAATTGATCGTATCTTTTATTAGCAACTGAAAAGAATTTGTTACATTTATACGTGAAATATTCATAATTTATTACTTATTTTGACATTAAATTGTTTTTTATTGTTTATTTACCTGCAAAGTGTGAGAAAAACAGGGAATCAGTCACAAAATACACATTACAGTTATCCTAATCTAAATCCCATTCGTTTAAGGTATTTTTGAGAACTTCATTTAAAGTTTCATTATTATGTGATTGCGATGAAACATTAATTTCATTTCTCATTTACTTGTCATGTCCATGAATCCGTCGTAAAAACAAAGGTTTTCGTCTAATTTGTAGCAATAGAAAAATATTTCCAAACTTTTGACGTAAAATCATATGGAATAAATTGAATGATATGTACCAGGCCGTTGAATTTGTTCCAAAAACACATTATTGTGTTATGAATAAAAACTTAGGAAAATTAACTTGACCTTAAAATCTTTCCTACTATTTCACTTACGAAAAAAATTAATTACGATATATAATGTCCTTTATACCAAAACTGTTTTTTGTAAAACCAATTATTCGAAAACTTCAATACCTTGATAGATACTTCTCATTGGTCACAGAAATTGGAACAGGCACAGAAACAGAAAGACGCGCAGAATTGAGATACGCGCAGAAATAGGGACATACACAGAAACAGGGACACGCGTAGAAATAGGGTCACGTGCAGAAATGGGAACATGCGCAAAAATAGGGACAGCCACGGAAATAGGTACGTGCATAGGAATAAGGACATGCGCGGAAATAGGGTCTGGCACAGGAATAAGGACATGCACAGATATAGGGACAGGCTCGGAAACAAAACACGGAAGATTATGAAGCACTGTATATTTTTGCCCTCACCGTGTCGTAGGACTTTATTTAGAGAAGTGTTTCAAAATTTATTACACTGTATTAAATTATTAAAGTGAAAAATTATTTTTTTATTAGGACTTATGTAATTTCATTAATTAAATGTAGCTATGACAGATATGTATCTTGCGGCCGACACAAAATACTGTCGGTCGTATGGTAAGAAACCAGGAAATGCGCGTCGTTCTGGAAGGATTAACGACCGGAGAGTCCGCGAATACGTTACAATTTCGGAGTGACCTTCGAAATCACAACAGCCGATCGGTACTCACGGACTCCCGTGAGTAACCCCACGCGACGTACGTGTGCGTGCATACGTGAGCGTGATGCCAGGCAAGACCGATGACCTCGGGACTGAAGTGCTTTAGACCGAGATTTCGGAGTTCGATTTTATCTTTTCCGAACGTAGAAAAGGACAGCAAATGAAGGACAAATAATAACGTAATGTGTAACTTCTTTATTTTTTACTATTTCTTAATGGGTCTTTTTCTAATGCAGTCGTGAGCTTTTTCTGATTAAAATAAGACCACAAACACAATATAATTTTTGTAAGATTATATTGATTCTTATGAAAAATATAAATATACTTTTTATATAATATTAACTTCAATATTTTAGGAAACCAGTGAAACGTCATCCTAGACGAAATTTTTATTTTTGTAACTTATACACCCTCCGAATCGAAATGATCGTCTAATTTATAAATTTGCAATAGAAAAACACATGTGCGGTTTAATTATATGAAATAAAAGTTAAATAAATGTATTATACTCGTACAGAAAAATATGTTAACACTACGAATTGAAAGCCGAAAAGAATCAGGAAATTCCATCTCGCTTTGTTTTGGTACAGTATAACTCGCGCACGTAACAAGCCTGGCCCGGGCCTGTCTGCAAGTGTGAACACGTTTAGACGATGCCGGGCCGGCCTGGCACGCTGCGAGCACGGCACGCGCAGTTTGAACACTCCAATGTAATCAAATGTAAGAATCAAATGTAATTCGGCCTTGGTCGGCCTTGGAGCACAGACCGAGCCTGGTACGTATGTAGATGTTGTCACGAGCCTTAGCATCGCGACGTTGCTAGGACAATCGGCGGGCGTTCGATGTTGGTTGAGCGAAACGAACAGATTCGAAAAATACGCTACTTATATTTAAAAGTTATTTGTGCGGCCAAAAAAAAGATAAAAATTTATTTTATTCGTGGTTTGATCAATCAAGGGCGGTTCAACAACAAAAGAAAAATATAAAACAAAATGTGAATGTGACTATTTAAAAATTTCATCTGAAATGTATAATAAATGTTTTTATTAGTTGAGGACCATTTTCGTAATTGAAAGCGATCACCTCATATGTAGGCTGTTTAATAAACTATGAAAAATTATTTAAGTAAAAAGGAAGAAGTGTTGAAAAAAAGAGTTCATAACGTTCTTAATTTAAAACAGCATGAAATTAAAGGTAATAAATATTACCTAATTGAATATTTATTAAAAGAATGTATTTAACTGAGATGTGTGAGGACTCGAAAATTTCGAGACAAGACTTTGACAGTGTTACGGACCGGCGGGCTTACAGAGCCAAGGGAACGGCGCGTGATGGCGGTGAAAGAAGCGAATGGAAACGTGGCGACGTTTGGAGAGTGCCGTCCAAATCAACGGCGCGAAATTCAAACAGACAATTGAACTTATACTAACTTGCTTTCTACGCTGCGCTCTCTCTCTCTCTCTCTCTCTCTTATAATGAATAGGATAAATTAAGTTTACTTATAAAATATGTCTTATATCTATACGCTCTTATATACTGTGTGTTATCTTACCTTACAATGTTAACCTAACCTACGCAACACGTTAACTTCACATAGCTGACGTAACAACTGATTCGAAATCGATAATTACATCGAGCTAATGATTTTGAAGCAGAGCTGGGGAAAAATAGATTTTTTAAGTAGTAAATAGACTATAAACAATTTTATCTTTTCATGTAATACAGAATTTGGCAAATAAACTTTTAGCATTTCAAATATATTTAACAACGTAATATCCGTATGTAACTAATATTTCAAAAAAAGTTTACTTATTAAATTCTATATTACATGAGAAAAATCTATTTTTCGTCATCCCTGCTGTGAAGTAAATGGTTTAAATGCGAATAACACGAATAATAATAAAATTGTATACTTCTACTTCGTAAATAAGGTTATGATATTTATAAAATAATATTTTGCTATAATTATAGATATGATATTGGTTGTGCAATCTCTTCTGAATTTTCAGCTACAAGCTCGAAAGTCTCGAATTTTATATATATACTGAGTAGTTGCAAATGTAATTTTAGTCTTTCAAATAGATAACTTACAAAAAAAACCTAAATTACTTTTACAACAACTGAAATGTTCGTGCCGTATACACTTATTGCCTCCAAATAATATTCAGCACTCGTAGTAGAAATGAAATATACAGGATATTCGCTTCTTGCTAACGTGCCTATTTTTTGTGGACTACCGGTAACGTTGATCGCGACGTGAAATGGTAAGGGTGCACTAGAACCCTCCAAAGCTGAGACAGAAAAGCCCATAAAATGCAATGTCTACGTACGGATCCTAACACTGACATTTTCTACAGTGGCGGTAATTCAGATTCTGAGACAAAAAAAACATTGCATGCAATGCTGTACGGATCCTAAGTCTGCGATAGAAACGCTGTCACGGTGTAGCCACTACAAACGAGGTATACCATGCGAGGTATCCCATATATGTATGTAATATGCATATATCTCATCTGTGGCAGCACTATACTGGACGAAACACTGAAAACACTCTCATTTGCTCTTGGGTATAATTACTTTTTGTTTATATATAATAAAACATAGATTAAATCGTAAGTGATTTATTGACTTTGGGGAAATTATAAATAAGATATAACACATTAAATATGAATGTTTAGTGATAAGACTTTTCTGAATATCTTTTCTTACGAAAATAAAGTGAATACTACGAATACCCAGTTTTTTTTCTGGAAACATAATTCCGACAACATTAAGAAAATAATATTGCTTTACATCTTAAAATTAAAATATCGTTCTTAAATATAACATAGCACATATGTCATAATGGTACTCTTAATGAATTATACATATGTATGTATATGCTTAAAGATCACTGAGATCAACAGTTTCCATTTGTGCATTAATGGTTTCATCATTATTAACATTTTCTTCAGTTTCTGTCTTATCTACTCTAGGGAAATATAATTTTGGCCATGAACCACATTCCGACTTCCTCAATTTGATTTCTACTTTAGTAGGAAGCATACTAACACTACTTTGTGCAATATCAACAATCTGCAAACATAAAATTGTAAGAATAAAATGTTGTGTGATACTCTACTAAAAGATTGTTTCAGATTTTGAAATTTCATATACGTACTCCTCTTAATTCTAAATCGCGAGAATATCTTGAATTATCCTCCGCAAAAGATAAGTCCACGGATAAACGTATAGGATTCAACTTAACCGTGGATGAATCTGGCAGATACTTTTTAGCAAAAACTGAAACCACGACAAATGTCCCTGTTTGATGCCAATCCAATCTACATTCTTTCTTTTTACCGGTATTCTAAAAAGAAAGTAATAATTATNTTCGCTTCTTGCTAACGTGCCTATTTTTTGTGGACTACCGGTAACGTTGATCGCGACGTGAAATGGTAAGGGTGCACTAGAACCCTCCAAAGCTGAGACAGAAAAGCCCATAAAATGCAATGTCTACGTACGGATCCTAACACTGACATTTTCTACAGTGGCGGTAATTCAGATTCTGAGACAAAAAAAACATTGCATGCAATGCTGTACGGATCCTAAGTCTGCGATAGAAACGCTGTCACGGTGTAGCCACTACAAACGAGGTATACCATGCGAGGTATCCCATATATGTATGTAATATGCATATATCTCATCTGTGGCAGCACTATACTGGACGAAACACTGAAAACACTCTCATTTGCTCTTGGGTATAATTACTTTTTGTTTATATATAATAAAACATAGATTAAATCGTAAGTGATTTATTGACTTTGGGGAAATTATAAATAAGATATAACACATTAAATATGAATGTTTAGTGATAAGACTTTTCTGAATATCTTTTCTTACGAAAATAAAGTGAATACTACGAATACCCAGTTTTTTTTCTGGAAACATAATTCCGACAACATTAAGAAAATAATATTGCTTTACATCTTAAAATTAAAATATCGTTCTTAAATATAACATAGCACATATGTCATAATGGTACTCTTAATGAATTATACATATGTATGTATATGCTTAAAGATCACTGAGATCAACAGTTTCCATTTGTGCATTAATGGTTTCATCATTATTAACATTTTCTTCAGTTTCTGTCTTATCTACTCTAGGGAAATATAATTTTGGCCATGAACCACATTCCGACTTCCTCAATTTGATTTCTACTTTAGTAGGAAGCATACTAACACTACTTTGTGCAATATCAACAATCTGCAAACATAAAATTGTAAGAATAAAATGTTGTGTGATACTCTACTAAAAGATTGTTTCAGATTTTGAAATTTCATATACGTACTCCTCTTAATTCTAAATCGCGAGAATATCTTGAATTATCCTCCGCAAAAGATAAGTCCACGGATAAACGTATAGGATTCAACTTAACCGTGGATGAATCTGGCAGATACTTTTTAGCAAAAACTGAAACCACGACAAATGTCCCTGTTTGATGCCAATCCAATCTACATTCTTTCTTTTTACCGGTATTCTAAAAAGAAAGTAATAATTATTAAAATATTTCAATGTTTCACAAGTATGACATAATGAAGATATTTGTTTTACCTTGGAAATCCACTTATGTTCACCTTGCACACACCCAGCTTGTTCCAAGAATATGGAGAAGTCTGTAGTTTTCTTTTGACAACAGGACCAATATTTCATACCTTCATGGAAGATAGGAGTACCAGAATGATAGTTACAAACTTCATTATTAGATTCAGGCCCATTATATGTAGCTTTACATGCATTATTTGTACAAGCCTGTCCAATTTGAATGTTGGCTTCCGATACAGTTCCTAATTCTAGTGACTTTAATCCTTTAATTTGTTCTAACAACACAGGTGATATAGTTGGCGTCAAAGTAATTTGTGGAGTGTCAAAAGGAGGCCTTTTTAGCGAAGGTCCATTATTAAGAGGTTGAGCAATAATTTCTATTACTTCTTTAGTCTTAGATTTATCGACTGCAGTTTTTTGTGGTTCTGGTGGCTTTATGTTGGAGTGACATGATTTTGTACAACCCTTAATATTTAAAAATTCTGTAAAATCTGTACATTTCTTATTACAACAAGACCATCCTTTATAAGCATCATGAAATACTGGAGTGCCAGGGTGATAAATACAATCGTCTGAAAACAGGAGTATGAAATAAAATTGAAATATTAAAGGAATAAAAAGCTCAATTAATTGTATGTTATCATTCAGGTAAATGTTTCTGCAATTTTTACATAAAATTGAACAACAGACCTTCTTTGTTGTTGTTAGGATCGAATTTCTTCCCACAACCACGATTGTAGCAATGTAATTGTAGCAATGCTTCTTGTGACATTTCTAATTTTATTTTAATTAAATGGTTAAATCTTTTTTTAAATTTGATCTATTTTAGTTTAACACTATATGTCGTATAAAAAACACGAATACGTCAAGTTGAAGAGAGAATCGTAACACTTCTTATCTTCGATAGGAATAAGAAGTCAAATTCACTGAAACAACGTTTCTTTGCCTGCAGATCGGGAAAACTTCTACTTCTAGATTCTAGCACGTTCTAGAAAATGTACACTCTAAATGTAGCAGTTGTAGCACACACATATGTGTAATAAAAGTCCTCTGAGATCGCGGCATCTGTGAAAAACTTCAACCGATTAATTTTTCAATTAATTCTGTTTTCAAAGCAAATACGAAAATTATCGTGACGTTACGTTCGCAGTCTTAATTCAAAACGTTATTCCATAAAATTAATAAATAATATTTTAATGTTTAGTTTTATACATGTTCATACATATAATACGTATATATACATTTTATGTATATAAATGCAACTACGTACATGTATATATATACGTATAAGCATTAGAGCGCGAAATTTGTATAAATACAAATTCACATTTATTTAAATTTGCAATTAAACAAAAAACTCCTTTCTTGTTTAAGATTTTATTCGATTAAGTACAATATGCGTAAATATTTTATTAAATTTCATTAAGTTCATTAACTATCAATTATAAATTTAATTTTATAGTTATATTTGTTGTTCGTAAGAACCCAGAATTATACATAATACGATTGATGTCCACAAATTGCATAAGCTTGAAACACCACTTCAACGCGATATATGTATAACCTTTTTTGGGCTGTATCCTTTTATCTCTGCCTTAAGATTTATTCCTAATCTTAAATGAACAGCCAATAAGAGCGAGATGAATTTGTAATATTTTATAACAACTATTACTGTTCTTAGGGCAATATGTGTACATATTCGGTAATGGTTACATGAATAATGATAAACAATTGGTGTGATTAATTTGTTGGAAGCAAGAATATTTAAAATACGTTCTGTATATGTAGTGAGAAATGAAAAAGTCCCTAAAAGATTCGAGGGCGACCGAAGCGCGTACATCACCAGAGCAGGAGGTTCGTGACATCGATACTTGACGCATGCGTTAGAATCGAAGATTCTCGCAGGCGCCACCTTGCGAGACAGTTCTGTCGTAGAAGTTATCTCGAGTAGTTCTTCGGTGGTTGTGTTCGTCCGGTTTTCTCGTGATTTTTCCGATCTCGAAGGATCCCTTTCCGTTACTGCTACTCCGACAAAAAGAAGTGAGTATCGAGTGGTCAGCCGACTTTGGTTCGTTGAAAACGGTCGCGTTTCACGGGCGGTCGGGCAGGCGGCTCGGATTCGCTGGAAAATTCACGGCAACCAGACGTGACAGGTTCTAGCAAAATGGCCGTACACGATTTACAACAAACGGTTGTTTCGCGTTCGACGGATGAATTTTGCGCCGGCGTCTACTCCGATCGTCGTGACACCGCGCGACATCGTAAAGTCGCACGACGACGCGACGATCGCGAACGATTCATGATTCCTGGTCAGTCATCGAGCCGTGTCCCCATACATATTCAACATACATGTTGCACGTCACTGCGAATTGATTTTTTCGCGAATGACCGCTTGCGTGGTGCGCTGCTAGAACCGCGTTGAACCGCGTTGCCGCAACCGTCCAACCGTCGAACTTAAACCTTTGTACCGAATTTCGTTTTCCCGTGGCTCTGCCCGCTATCTTATCTGTCAGACACCCGAGAGCCAGAGACACGAATCGGTAGTTTTTGACAGACGTTGTCCCCGCGTGAGCTACCGTCGGGTCACCGATCAGCTGTCGGCCCTGTCAGCGACTCGACTCGATTCTGCACCTTGATCACGTTTCTTTTCTGGCCGCGAACCTGCCGATGGCGAATCGAACGATCCTTTTCCGCCGACTTTAAGGTTACCAAGATTTTTCCCCGTGGACAACTGACATTGTTGCCAAACCAGTCTCGGTCTCGATCTCGGTTTCGGTCTCAGTCTTGGTCTCGGTTTCGGTCTCAGTCTTGGTCTCAGTCTCGGTCTCGACCCGCCGTGTTCTATTACGACGCGCGAACCGAGATAAACTCGGACGACGTGTTTCGCGGCTGTTAAGATTGCCAGTGATCTCGACTCCTCGTGCCAGCTTATAAGATTAGAAAAGGAAGCCACAGGTAGATCTTCGTGCGCGGGGTCAGGCAGGCCAACAGTCGCTCACCTGTACCCGTGATCCCGGAAACGTTCGCGAAATATTCGCGATTAATATCTCGTGGAAACGAACCCCGTATCAGACTCGCCAGTCTTATCTAGTTCCAAAGATTATTACACGAGTTTATTAGTGGAAAAAGGTGAAACAATGTGTAATAATCGTTTCCTATCTAATTTCTATAACTTCGCCCCTTTGGGTGGACCAATGGCGTCGTTACGGTTCCGTTCAAATTTAATCTGTATCGAAGCAATTGTTTCGAGGTTTACCGTCTCGTCCTGTTTTCAATGTTACGAATTAATCGAATACGAATGAATATCGAATGTACTTATAGCACGCATTGAACAGATTGTTCGAAGTGCTCAAAGGGATTAAATATGGAAACTTAAGAACTAAGACAGTACTTTCGGATAACCAGACCCGTTATCTCTTTGAAACTCAGTTTTATGCAAAACAGTGCTATCGCCGCTGTTATCGATCTAGGTGCTCTAGTATGTCCAACAGCACGCGAAACTAATTTCCATGAAAACAGTCGGTGTTTGGGGAAACGTCGTAGCTGCAACACGGGAACGGAGTAAGTGGAAAAAGAATTTCCCAGATGATGCGGGTGTTGTATGAATTAGTTTGCGCGTGGTTTATTAATGGGAAGCAGGGTGGTGGGACGAAGAAGGCCGGCATGAATATTTGAATGCACCGCAAGGTGAAATGTACGCGGGCAACGAGGGTGGGCGACCAGCCGGTTTATCGATTACGGCGCGGCGCGGCGCATCGCGCCGAGAACGTCGTCATAAAGCGTCGCGACGACGCAGCACGCCTTTTCGATTGCCAAGGTCCTGTCCTGTTCCGTTCTGTCTACTCCCGGCATTTCTTCGCGCAGATCTTCCAGTTGCTCGGTTCCAGTTTTCGGTTTTCGTTCCGAACGAACTCGTGGCTCCCGGGTTTTCGGAACATTTTCCTGTCGCATCGATCGAAGTCGAACGGTTTGCCGGGAAAAGATGGCGGCCGCTGGCCCGCCGCCTCTAATTGGCTGATTTGGATCCCGTCTCGCCAATCCGAGCTGTGTTTTCTGACAGCCGTCACCGAGATCACCGGCCAACACCGTTTGCTATTTTGTTGACCGCGTGTTTTGCCAAATGTTATGTCATTCACGGAATTGCGTGGACACACACGGTTTTGCAAGGGTTGCCGAATATTTTAGTAGCTGCGTGTTGTCGTCCCGATCGAATGGAGGCTTGTACACAGGCCCTGCCGTGAGAGACACGATGAGAATTACGACCGACTGTTATTTACAAATAACGCGCGGGTTTACATAACTGTGCCACATTGTCGGTGTGTTTTTCCCGCTTTGTGCTCGGTGCCTTATACCTTTCGCAACTACGCCAAGGAACTGACCACTTACCACAGTTCCATGACACTTCGTACTGTCTCGATGCATATTATTTACAAATGAACGCTTTTATTGCTTCGACATTTTGCATTTGGTATATATTAGTTTAATGTTATTTCCGCGTTCGGGGAGGAATGCTCGTCGTTCGTGCAGCGTTTTATCTGCGGGTTCATTTGAATCCGAGGGTATTTTAGTTTACGATTGGAGGAGTAGAACAAAATTGCTTCTAACGAACATTTGAGTAGTTAGTATAGTATTTATAATTGTCCTACTACGAACAAATTAGTACTTGTTTTTATAAATATTTACGTTTACAAATGCTAAAATTGTTAACCGCACACAAATATAACTATTAAATAGCTTATCTAATGCACACAAGTGAAAGTTAAAGGACTCGAGCGACCGAGACAATTTGAAACTATCGATATGGAATATACGACCGATTGAAAATGTGAGATACCGATTACACGCTCTTGCACTTGACACAGAAAATTCTTGTTTCGCATAAATTCTTGTTTTACAGTCCAGCAAGAACCTGTACGGAAACCTGTACCCGAGCCTTGTTCGACAAACAGATACAGTTTCAAATTCACAGAAGTTCAAATCAACTGAAGAAGCATCCCGATCCCAGACCATGTTTCTCCGTGGTAGTTTTTCTGAAACTCGCAAAAAAGCCTGTTAGAAAGTAAAATAAGTCGCATTTAGGGAGCACGTTACACCAATTAAATAGCTCGGGACCGTTCGTTCTCACGCATTCGATTCGATTCCCCGGCGGTTGTTGTTCCTTTTTGCAATCGCATGCACAAAGAAATTGTTTCGCTGGAAATGTTTTAAGCGACCCGATCCGCCGTCTATCGTGCGCGGCGCAGGAAATCGCGTGTGACTTTGATTTCCTTTAGGAAAACCGTGTAGGTGCCCTTTCTCTGGCTCTTATTTTCCTTGTCGTGTGCGCGCCGGGGTCGGTTGCGACAGCAATTTTATAATTGAACGTTACGAATCTCTCGGCACAAGTTTTCATTCTGCTGTACAGCGAAATATTTTTTACTCTATCCCTCTCTCTATCTCTCTCTCTCTTTCTCTCTCTCTGTTTTCCCAGGCGATGTCGATGACTGGGTACTAAACCAACTTGGAGCTGACTGGAGACGAATCTAGTCGCGCTCATTCGAATCACTGTTGAGTATCAGCCAGCAAACACAAGCGAGGATCATGAAAATGGTGCTGTCTCAACGTCAGAGGGAGGAGTTGTAAGTTTCACTGCTTTCCTTTATTTTCAATAACGAAACAACCGTTTGACGCTTGGCCGTTGTGCCAGCAACTGCAAAGACAGAAAAGCGCAAAATTCAAGTAATTTATTCAGTGGCATAAGATTGAATGATTCAAGACTCAACATAGCAATTCATTTTTAAATGTAAAGGAATAATCGGGTGACTCATGTCTGAGTCATACGGTTTGCTTCAAATTCAAGACTTTCTTGGACCGACTAGAAACAATATTGCAAACCAGTTTTCGAACATCGATCGTTCGAAAGATGCTTGAACTTTTTAAAATTCAAGTTTCATCGATAGCCAGATGAAATGTAGGATTTGTGACCAATGCTTCAGAGGAAGCAGTGTACACGTTCGGCGATTGCATCACTGCATTCCTTTTCTACTTACTGTTTCATGAAAATTGAAATCGAGGAGAACCAATTGTCCTTACGAGAGAACTTATTGAATTCAAATTAACATGAAAGATAATATGCTTTCTGGAAGTATCATACTTGCAATCCTCTGTGTACATTTCACTGTAGATAGTATTTAGACACTTATAAGATTAGCCGTAATGTAATAGCAATAAATCCGAGAAAGTTCTTTTATTGATCGGTAAGAAAGAAGAGATATTTACGGGCCGAGAAAATGGCAGAATTAAGTGATCGGATCCGACAGTGAAATAAGACACGGTTGGATCCGCTCGGTTTCGAAATAATGTAATTGAAAATACTAAATGACTTCGAATCGATCTGTTCCGTCGTATGCGCGAGTTAAGACGAGCATACACGCATTTATAATGTTATATATATTCATGAAGTTGGAATTGCATCAAGCGGCGAGCATTTGCTAATTCATTCGTAGGCACATCCTCAGGCTACACCGCTTTCTCACTCTTCGAACAGGTTGATCAACGCTGCTCGATTCGGCAAAAAAACGCGACAACGCGATAATAGTTAGAAATCTAACACGTTCTTCCAGTATTGTTGATTTGGCGGCGATTTATTTTCACTAGATGTGATCGCTATATCACGAGTCCTCGTAGAAAATCCTATTATCGAAGATCGTTTCGTATAAATCAAAACGAAAGAAAAAAAATAATAAAAATATGCTTTTTTAAGTAACAAGCCCAACAAAAAGAAAATGATCAGATTGTATCATTCGAGGTTCATGGTTGGAAATCAATTACTATTTCACTTTCGATTATTGTGCAAAATTACCTTGAACGATCAGTTTCAATTCAATTTAAAATATAAAACAATTTCAAAATATATTAATTATGACAAATTTAAACCATTTTTTCCATTTAGTAACTCCTAGCCCTTGATCAGTAATCTTATCTTTTAATATTATAAATTTATTATTAAGAACAACTGTTTTTGATATTATTTTTCTCATATACATTTACTCATGTTTAATCTTACGACATTATTAATTTCATTATACCAATGATGACGGGATGTTATTTCAGAATAATTTGATGTATCATCTCTGAATTATTTTGTTGAATGTACGTTCGTGACTGTACTTAACCGAATATTGAAATTAGAAGAATTTGACCTTCAAAATCAATTATTATACATATTTAACCCGTATGATATTCCTTTATTAAACTCTATTATTCTTGTTTCTTCAGGGTTAACTATTACAAAATAATAAGAAAAATTATTATTAAACTATTTATTAAACTATTATATTAGATTGAAGCAGAGCGGAACGATTTCTCAACTGCGAATCATTTTCAGAACGTACCCCGATTCTACGTATGCATTGCCTTATGCAGAAATGCGTGAACATTGTCTGTTCCCAATGATAGGGTCACATGATTGCCGAACATCTCGTCCGAGATTCTATCGGGATCGGGACAGTCTTGATCCCATCCTTGGCTGCGAACTGCGATCTGCGATCGCTTCGAAATCAAGGAAAAGGAAAGTGACGAGTACGCAACCGTCTTTTGTTCTCGCGTATTCGGCTGAAGTTAATGCGATCTCGCCGGAGAACATTTCTTGCGGATAATACCGCGGCGATTCTGCCAGGCCGCACCGTTATGGAAATTTCTCAATAACTGTTGCCACGGGATTGTTCACGAGTCGATACCAAAAGCACAGCGAACGTGCTAATCCCGAGAATCGCCACGCCGCGCCGGCCAAATAGTGTGTTTATTCGATGATGTCAGCTGTTGACCTGGAAGCCTTAGTAGTTGTTGTCACTAGATCAGTTTTACTACCTTGTATAAAAGTTACTAGTCCGTATTCAATTTTTTTTCCTTTCAAATTACGGGTACATCCGATCGGATACATTCAAGGAAATTTTTACGATTTCAATCATTTTAAAGTAAAGAGTCTAGAAAAACCATTGTTTCGACGGAGGTCTGGCAGTTCTATATCACAATTCAACATTTCGTAAAATCCGATCCCGATTGGTACACTATTTCACTCAAACTAAAGAATTCGTCCTCCTTGGAATTCTATTTCGAGCTTGTTGGAGAAAGTAATCGATCCCTGTAATATCGACTTGGTATGTGTGATGGTCTTTGTTTGAAACGAGAGAATAGAATTAGATGAAGTACACGGCAATTTTAGATATTGTGCGTAATTGAAAATCCAGCCATTTATATATCTTTCAAATAATAAATCGTAACAGAGCTAAAGGTGCAAGATGTTTGCCTCTTTCGCGATTGAAAGTCGAGGACTCCGTAGAAAAGGCGGACGATAAAGGAAGATTTGAGTTTCGTTTTCGTTTTTAAGTCGTTCAAGTATGCATCTTCGTTTTCGTGGCAGTTACAAAATGGGAAACGTCGCTTCGATTCAAGCGACTAAATAGTATCGCGTTTCTCTTCCATTGCTACTGCAATTATCCGTGTAGCGCGCGAATCGATCGTTTTTACGTCTTACAAATTGCAAGTTGTAAGCACTGGTTGCCGATGCAAATCGAGATATATAAATGCTGCTTCACAAGAACCAGCCCCGGTGAAAAATACATTTCTTCTGTCACGGAATCTATTAAGTCTGAGGACAAGAATCTCGCTAGACCTTGCTGCAATTAATATCTACGTCGCATACTAAGCGGACGGCGTGCGTTCTTTTGTCAACCCCTTCTGGCAGTCTATTGCCAACAGGTCAATTGTAAATATGCATAATAGAATGAATGTCTGAATAAAATGTTTCGGTCAACTTGGTAAAACCTTTAACACGCGTACAGCGGGACTTGGCTCCATTTGTCAGAGTATAAATATAGTTTCTGGCAATCAATTTCAACTTTCACATGTTTGATTAATGTTGATAGAAAAACTAACATGTCCAGAAGCAGTACTTCAAAAGATACATTGAACAAATTGATAAATAAGATTATAAATGATACTAAGCTTACTTATACATATGATCGTTCGAGCGTTGAAGGAGGAAATAAATTTCTGTTTATTGTTGTTTCGAAACGGTTTAAAAATACCTAAGGTCGCACGAGCATCCACGGGTTGTTTAATTAGCGTACGCAAGCGTGTACGGAAGACAATGGAACGGTGTCTCGTTAAGAAGGAATCTAATAAGTCCCACAGGAAACTAGCAATATTCATGAGTACATATTAAACCTGATTCGAACATTATTGAAGACACACGTGCACACGCACCCTCCATTCATACTGGCGCGCCGCGCCGCATTGTGGCGCTGTGCACCGCCGCCGCGAATATCGTATAACGAGTATAGTAATCTGCAAATACTTCTCCGCTATTAATTAGTATTCATTGCGCGCATGGAAAACACGCTTCGGCCATTATTAACGCGATAAAAATTTCATGCAACGTGCTATGTTTCTGCGCGTGTCCGACAGTGACAATAACGCTTTGTTTGTTTCATTTCTTTGTGTCGTCGATCTTGTTTTGTTAATCGCGTCAACGAGATTCTCTGTTTTTCTCTCATTCCCGATTATTTTCGGCAAAACAAATTACCGAAGACAGAGGTCGTTGAAATAATTGCGAAAGTATTTGCGAGGTCCAACCGACCAAGTGAGTATCGTTATTTACTTTTACTTTTATCAACTTTGTAAATTTTGAGTTTTTATATTTGAGTTCTTTTTGCACCTTTTATTACCCTATTACCTTACTAAATTCGCGCAAAACTAAGACGTCGACGCTGTTGCGATCGACAAGAACCCACTCCCACTGAACTTGCTGACGGTGTTCTGAAAGTGATCGATTTTCCGCTATCGAAAGGTTGAAGAAGTTGTATTATAATATGATTCCCGTTAATGTTCGGACACTTTTCAAAACGCAATAATTTTTTTAGAACTGGACTAAAAGACTTTAATTTTTTTTAGATGATGGAGCGACCAGTCTACTAGACCATAACTAGAATGCTTTTTTAAAATTTTGCTATTGCTTAGAATGACAAAAGAAAAGAAAAAACGAATAAAAATTTCCCCGGAATGGGATGACCTTGGTATGAGCTGTAAACAATTAAAGATCGCAAAAATCGCAGTTTCGTTCCGATTTTTGACACTTTCGGCCAATAAGTGTGAGAAATTTTCAGTTTGTACAATCTTTTAACGCTTGTAACTTGACTTTGCGTTAGGCGATTTCGATGAAATTTTTAGCATGCATATAACTTACTGAGATCTACAAAACGCATTTTTAAAAATTTTCGTTATAGGCTTAGATAAACAAGTTAAAAAACGAGAGTCTTCTATTTTGTTTTCTCATTCGGAGTACAGCAAAATTATAACGAAATAGTTTAGTCATTGCCTAGTATACTAGTCCCTCTATCATCTAAGCATTTTAAAAAGTGTCCGAATATTAGTCATACAGTCACTGTATGTCCCTCAGTACAATTAGTATACTCTTGTTTTCCGCTACGTGCGCATGTTCCCGTTCCCTTTCCGGTTTCAAAGTTAAGTGTTGTTGACGATTTCGGATAATCTGACTTCAGAGAATTGTCTGCAAAAACAGGGCCTGTTATTTCAATGCAACTCGAAAACATATTTAGCACGAAGCTGACTCTCGCCG